TGCGGCGAGGCAGATGCTGACGAATATGGACTGCATGGCCTGCACTGTGGAAAATCTGGTGGTTGGCACACTAGACACGACGAAGTCAATGACATCATTAAAAGAATCCTTGCCTCTGCTCAGTGTCCAGCGGAGAGAGAGCCCTGCAACCTACTGAACCTTGACTCTCTTAGCTTTGCCGGCCGACCAGACGGAATCACACTGCGACCGTGGAAGGGTGGCAGACAGTTGGCATGGGACTATACTTGTGTATCCACCCTGGCAACCACATACATCAACCTCTCTGCCGGCACAGCAGGAGCCACGGCGACTCGCAGAGAAAGAGACAAGTCAGCCAATTACAGGCAATTAGATCATCGGTACAACTTCGTTCCAATAGGGTCTGAGACCCTAGGCCCATGGGGAGAGAGTGCAAGAAGGTTTCTTAAGGATCTTGGTTCCAAGCTCATTGACACCACAAGAGACCCTAGAGCAGCAAGTTTTCTCTTTCAGCGCCTCAGTGTCGCGATCCAGAGGGGGAATGCTCGCTGCATCCTCAGTTCATGCCCGGCATCGGAGGAGTTCGAGGAAATCTACAGCCTCTAGGAAGCGAATTTTTTTTTGTGTGTCCTCTTAATGTTAAATTTTGTATAAAATCAGATATGTAACTGTATAACCTTGCATAATAAAGTGAACACCATAAAAAAAAGGAGGGTGGTAGGAGAAGCGAACACTCTTACGCATTCAGAGTTAAATGGCAAGTTTTTCCCCTGAATGCTCTGTGTTCCCTTCTCTGAGGCTGTGGGTCCCTATAAATGCACCAGTGGTGGTACCCCCATATATATATATATATATATATATATATATATATATATATATATATATATATATATATATATATATATATATATATATATATATATATATATATATATATATGTCGTACCTAGTAGCCAGAACGCACTTCTCAGCCTACTATGCAAGGCCCGATTTGCCTAATAAGCCAAGTTTTCATGAACTAATGTTTTTTCGACTACCTAACCTAACCTAACCTAACATTTTCGGCTACCTAACCTAACCTAACCTAACCTATAGAGATAGGTTTGGTTAGGTTAGGTAGGGTTGGTTAGGTTCGGTCATATATCTTCGTTAATTTTAACTCCAATAAAAAAAAATTGACCTCATACATAATGAAATGGGTAGCTTTATCATTTCATACGAAAAAAATTAGAGAAAATATATTAATTCAGGAAAACTTGGCTTATTAGGCAAATCGGGCCTTGCATAGTAGGCTGAGAAGTGCGTTCTGGCTACTAGGTACGACATATATATATATATATATATATATATATATATATATATATATATATATATATATATATATAGATATATATATATATATATATATATATAATATATATATATATATATAACATATATATATATATATATATACATATATATATAGGGTTGGTTATATATATATTTTATATATATATATATATATATATATATATATATATATATATATATATATATATATACGATATATATATATATATATATAATATATATATATATATATTATATATTATATATATATATATATATATATATATATATGTGTGTATGCTGTATCCTGGGTTGATTATGATTCTATGATTCTGGGTTGATTATGATTGTATGATTCCATCGGGCAAGCCCGATGGAATCATTGCTTCCCTGGACGTCGAATCCCTATTTACCAACGTCCCAGTCGACACAACCATAGGAATGATACTGGACAGAGTATACAGAGACGAGAGCACCCCCAAATTAAACATACCCGAGCCACACTTGAAGCGTCTTCTCGACGCAAGTACAAAGGAAGCCCCTTTCATCAGTCCACAAGGAGACATGTATTTACAAATAGACGGAGTAGCAATGGGCTTCCCCTTAGGAGTTTTATATGCGAATTTTTATATGGGAACCATCGAAGACAGAGTCTTCAGTAGCAGACAAAAACCAACTCTATATTGCCGTTATGTAGATGACATATTCGTAATAGTAAAAGACTCAGATGAATTAATTGATCTAAAAAGCCATCTAGAGAGAGAGTCAGTACTCGGATTTACACATGAAAATAGTGAAAATAACAGTCTGCCATTCTTGGATGTACTAATAACAAAAACAGGAACCTCTTTAAGCACCAACGTATATACTAAGCCCACCAACATAGGATTATGCCTGAACGGTAGAAGTGAGTGCTCCCAAAGATACAAAGCCAGTGTTCTCAATGCTTATATTCGTCGAGCGCTTACCCACTGCTCTGAATGGAGCAACGTGAGTACAGAGTTTAAAAGAGTAACTCAGGTATTGGTGAATAACGGATATAGCAACGCGGAAATAAACGCTGCTATAAGAAGACACTTGGACCGTTGGTATAATCCTGAGCGTAGAACAGAAACCACAATACCTCTAATAAAATTATATTACAAATCAACCATGCACAGTGAATATATAAGAGAGGAAAGAATAATGAAAGAAATAATCCGTAAAGGAGTAAAAAGCATTACTCCTAACCAAAACATAAACCTGATAATATTCTACAAAACCAAGAAGACTTCCGATCTCCTTATCAAAAACAGCCCGAAGCCGACGGAGAACCCTCTACAGCAGTCAAGCGTTGTATACATGTACACTTGCCCCCACGAAGGATGTAACCTACAATCTAAGTACATAGGTATGACGTCGACCAAGCTGACTAGGCGTTTAACATGCCATTTTCAATCCGGTGCCCCCAGGAATCACATGAGACAAGCCCATGACATCACCCTAACGAGAGAAATGTTGAACAAAAATACCTGTATAATAGACAAAACCCAAGATGCAAGAAGATTACAAATTTTTGAAGCAATTCACATAAGAATAGAACAACCTACTATGAACACCTAAATCACGGAACTATTTACTCTACCCACCATGAGAGTAAGGACAAGACCAGAACATAACGATGCCGACACAGAAGACACTGTTCAACATAACAGGACAATTACACTTGATTAATCTTTGTATGTAGATAGGAGCTGCCTCGTATGGGCCAATAGGCCTTCCGCAGTTACCTCTATTCTTATGTTCTTATGTTTCACCCTCCATTTATCCCTTATGTATCCCCCCATGTTTTCACCTTTATTGTCTCATCACCTGACGCAGTGCGGGTATAAAATCAACCAGTCCTGAAAATTCTTTTCACTTGAGAATTAACCATGGAGGTTCGAAACGTTGTGCAAATTGTATAAATAAGAGTTCTTAGTATAGAGTATATATATAAGAGTATAAATAAGAGAGAAAAAAAACATTCTATAGTAATTCACTTCTTTTCTTCACCTTGAAATCGCGAAAAGGAGTTTTGGGGAACTCCTATTTCTGCTAAGCCCTGAGGCTAAGAAAATAGTTAGAGGGATAGAAGCCCTATCCCTCCGACACCTGCGAGGGGGAGGGGGTTCAAATAGCTTCGGCTATCACTTCCTTATGTCCAGTCATGATGGCCGAGTGGATTAAGGTGTCCTGTACATAACAGTTGCGTTGCTCCTGGAAGTATGGGTTCGAGTCACTTCTGGGATGTGAGTTTTCAGTGGCATATAGTCCTGGGGACCATTCAGGCTTGTTCGCATTTGTGTTCCTCACGTGTGCCCCAAAGAATGAGGTGATTCGATAATATGCCCAAGATTACCATCCGAGTGCCGGCGGGGGGGGGGGGTCAAATAGCTTCGGCTATCACTTCCTTATGTCCGGTCGTGATGGTCGAGTGGATTAAGGTGTCCTGTACATACCAGGTGCGTTGCTCCTGGCAGTATAGGTTCGAATCATTTCTGGTGTGTGAGTTTTCAGTTGCATACAGCCCTGGGAACCATTCAGGCTTGTTCGCATATAAATATATAAATAAATAAATAAATAAATAAGTATATATATATATATATATATATATATATATATATATATATATATATATATATATATATATATATATATATATATATATATATATATATATATATATATATACATACATACATACACTCCCCATATCTTGACTTTTTTGTATTAGGAGGAAGGAAGGGGAAATTATCAAAGGAAAGAGCTCAACTATTACGACTATATAGCACTTGGAAGGGGTTAGGATAAGGATTTGGGATGTGACGGGGGGGGGGGGGAGGAGGAGTTGTGCCCATTCACTTGTGGATGGTCGGGGATTGAACACCTACCTGCATGAAGCAAGACCGTCGCTCTACCGTCCAGCCCAAGTGATTGGGATAATAAAAAAAGAGATGATTTCGGGGCTTAGCGTCCCCGCGGCCCGGTCTTCGACCAGGCTTCCTTTTTTGTTAAACATCCCCCCCAGAAAGCAGCCCGCAGCAGCTGTTTAACTCCCAGGTACCTATTTACTGCTAGGTGAACAGGCGTATCAGGGTGAAAGAAACTCTACCCATTTGTTTCAGCCTCCGCCGGGGATCAAACCCGGAACTTTAGGACTTCAAATCCCGACCGCTGTCCAATCAGTCGTCAGGCCCCGTTAAAAAATGATTAGAGGTTTTAAGTGAAAGGAAATTTGCCCATCCATTTCTGTCCTGCCCAGGATTTCTAATCTGGAATTCTCGATTGTGCGTTGAGACTGTACCGAACCTGACTGTATTATCTTAAAATGATTATCTATTACCAACGAATATAAAAATAGAATAGTTAGCGTAATGATTAAAAATATTAAGGATTTGGGATGGGAGGGGGGGGTTAGGCATGGTGCCCAACCACTTATGGATGGTCGGGGATTGAACGCCGATCTGCATGAAGCGAGACCGTCGTTCTACCGTCCAGCCCAAGTGGTTGGGCCAAAAAAAAAAGAAGACGCAATTTTTTCATAGAGTGGAGCTCAGGACTGCGAGTCCACAGAGAACGCTAGGAAAAAACAGAGCCAAAGCTTAACCCCCGTAAGCACAACTAGAAAAAATCACGTCCCTGGAGGTGTGGTAAGGATACATGAGGCCAGGTCCCGCCGAGACTCGAACTCGGATCGCTGGATTCAAAGTCCAGAGTGCTAACCATTACACCACGGGACCACAACATTTATTATTGAACTGTAACAGAAGATGTTTCTGTCCTTGGGATGAACTCAGATCTGCAAGGCCGCGGAGGACGCTCCCATAGCTGCGCTACGACGGCTTATTAAAAAGGAAAGTTATCTAATTGTATGAGGTCGACCTGAGGTCCGTCGAGACTCCAGTGGGCGACCTAAAAAAGAAAAGAAGCAGCTCCATTATATTGGATGGAACTCCAAACTGCGAGTTGACTGCCAGACTTAACGACATCTGTAGTCGTTACTACAGACGTCGAAGAAGACTTGTAAACTCCAGAGGAGCGTAAGAAGGCATAGTTCGGTTTTTGTAGAGGGTACGAAGAGCTAGAGCTGTCAAGTCTCCGACTGTGTAAGGGGCAGATGCTGGGGGGGCTTTGCAAAGCCCTGCATATCAATCCCTGATTACGACGTGTGAGCTGAAGAGACAGGGTCAAATAAACTGGATGGTAAAAGGGACACTGCGAACGAGACTACGAGGGCGAGTCTACGAGTTCAGGTGTGTGAGGGAAGAAATGTGCAGTGTCTGCCTTTGAGGTCAGGAGGAGAAAAGGAGGCCTAGGCCTAGGCCTAGGAATGGCATAGGGGGATGAGTACGGTGACGACGCGAGCTACGAGTCACCTAGGGATCCTGAACGTGCCGGACTTGATCAACGAGGGACCCACCAGGAAGGAGAGGGCCCCAGCTACCATCGCGAGGAATCTACGACTTTGTAGCAGAGGAAGTTAAGGTAGATCAATTTTCTCTCCCATTCTCCCTTGAGCTAGGTAATATATTTTATCATTATTATTGATATTATTATTATTAATCAAGTGCTAGGCTATTTGCCAGGATTATTATTATTATATATGTGTTGACAGTGTTATTAGTGAATATTATTCCTGCACGGACTATCGGTGATCGTTGTGAAAGGACAGTATCCACGCAGTGAAAGGCAAAGTGAACTATATCTATATAAATAAAAATGTAAATGTTCGCTTGATCAAAATCGCTCATCTCCGAAAGTTCTTTACCGATTGCTTTGAAATTTTCACACAATGCTCCATTCGCATCCGAGCGGGTTTTTATATACATACTATATAGATGTTGCACCTGTGATGGGAAAAAATCATGCTTTCATAAAAAAAAAAGTTTTTCTTTTAAAAACTGTGTTTTCATGTGAGGGAAACCTCACAAACCTATCTTCGAAACCTCTTTACAGATTGCTTTAAAATTTTGACACAACGTTGCCTTCGAATAGGTGCGTCTTTTTATGTACATACTATATACATGCCTCACCTGTGACAGGAAAAACATATTTAAAAAAAAAAGTGCCATCTGTTAGATATAAGTTCAACACACGCTGTAATCTCTGAATATTCTTCACAGAATGCTTTGAAAATTTGACACAATGTTCCATTTGAATATGCGCGAGTTTTTATATACTACTATATAGATGCCACACCTGTGAAAGGTAAAACCATTTTCTTTTTTTAAACAGCACCATACGTTGCATGTAATAGCAACACACACTATACTAAATATGTTACGATTCCATTTCAGTGTTTCCGATAGCATTGATAAATTGAATTATCATAAATTTTGATTTATTTTCATTTTGATTTAATTATCTTGTGTGACATTGCATTGGAATTGAGCTGTGTTGTTTACTATACTATTCATTTCGTGAGTATAAAAATAGATGCCACACCTGTGACAGGTGAAATCATTTTTTTTTTAAGAAACAGCATCATCTGTTGCATGTAGGAGCAACACATGCTATACTAAATATGTTACGATTCCATTTCAATGTTTTCAATTGCATTGAAAAAGAGAATTTTCATATATTTCAATTTATTCTCATTTTGATTTAATTATTTTGTGTGACATTGTATGGGAATTGAGCTGTGTTGTTTACATGCCATTCATTTCGTGAGTATTGGTTATTTTTTTTATTTTTCATTGTTTTAATTACGTTTTTAACTGTTTTTCTTATATTTCAGTGATGGGGAACATCAGATCATTTTATGTTCCCAATTTTCTGATGGGAACATCAGATCATTTGGAATGCATCGGACAAGGGAATGGGGAATGGTAAAGAGGACGATGGGACGGGATTGGGGGATGGTGGGGGAGGACGAGGGGACAGGAAAGAGTGAGTAATGGTGGGGAGGACGAGGGAACTGGGAAGGGGGGGAATGGAAGGGTGGACGAGGGGACAGGGGGGAGGGGAAGGAGCTGGTGGGGAGGACGAGGAGACAGTGGATTGGGGAATGGTTAGGAGGACAAAGGTACTCTGGTTTGGGGGATGGTGGTAGGACAATGGGACTTGGGAGGGGGTGAATAGAGGGGAGGACGAGGGGGGAATGGTTGGTTTGACAAGGGGAGAGGAGTGTGAGGAATGGTTGAGAGGACAAGGGGACGGGGGGAGTGGGAAATGGTGGGGAGGACTGGGAGACAGGGAAAGGATGCCGTGGCTGGGTACAGCTAGTATTTACTTATGTGACAATGAGAGGCGGTGGCCAGATCCAGGTGTTAAGGCGCACAGCGCTCATCAGCTGAGTTGCCAGACCGACTTATGGAGTGTTGCCGCCAACCGCCAGAGCTGCGGATTTTATCATCTTATGGACCACTGTAGATTTATTTTAGTAAACCTATTATTATATTACCATTGTGTTTATATTGTCTCCTCCATCTCTTAGGCGATTGATGTAATAATTGATTATTGCACAACACTCTCCTGGTCATTATCTGTTAATCAGTAAGAAAAACTGAATAGCTCTCCAAAGCATCGAATTTAGATGCATTGAAGTGTAATCATTTAGCTCAATCCCCTTGAGCTGTTTTGCGTTGCCTTGATTTTCATTAAAGCACCAGAAGCTTGACGCTGTGCTTCTTCTTGGACCTCAAGCGTCAAGGCAACGCTCGAAGGTACCGTTATTCCGAAGGAAACCTTGAGGAACAGACAGGTACAGGACCACCCACGACTCACGCCGCATAACTCACGACTCATGACGCACGACACACGACCTCATACCCTTAAACATTCCTGCCAGGGACCTGGAGGCTCCCCACCGCCACCCATACATCTCCATCCAACCCGTCCTCTTAAAAAGAACGTCACTTTTGGCTCGTATGCGCGATATGGCCAAATTTGGACGTAATTTGAAATGAAATCCACTCACAAAAGTGACGTTCTGTTCCGTTTTCTATTTGAGCCGTCCGGCGTACGCGCAGAGGTTATAAGAGGACACTTTAAATTAACGTTTTTCATAACGTTTTGAAACTTTATGAGAATTTCCTGCCCACCTAACCTATCAGAGGACCCTTAACTTACTGTTGTTGAAAAAAAAAATCCCAAATTTATTTTCATATTTTTTTCAATTTCAAATTACGTCCAAATTCGGCCATACGGGCAAACGGCCAAAAGCGACGTTCTTTTTAAGAGGACAGGTTGCTCCATCAGCGCCAGGGTGCTGGAGGACCATCCAGTCAAGAACCACTGGCTAAAGAACCAGGTGCTGTCTGAGTCACTCTCTTCCCCCGCTACCATACCTGTACACCAGACAGACGAGAGACCCTATGATAAAACACAAGACGCCGACCTTAGCAGTGGTCACGTAAGAGGTGTGGCCGGCTTCGGCCAGCCCAGCACGTAGTGCTGTCATAAGCCGGATAAGAAGCCCGATCTCCACCACCGCTGCCAGGCTGGTGGGCACCTCCAGCACCGCGGCCAGGTATGACCCCTCAGCCCTAATGCCCACCTGCAGCGCCTGACCCACCTGCCTGTTGTGGCAATGCTGAAGTACCACCCACCACACCACTAGGAGGACCAGTCCTGTGGTGTTGGGCCACGTGGCCAGTGCTGGTGTCCTGATGAAACAGTACATCAGGATCACCCACAGCAGAAGCAACACCTACCCTGGCAGGTGGGCTGGGTCGCCCATCTGACTCCCCCGGAGGAACCACATTGCCTCGGCTAAGACGAGCGCGGCTAAACACAGCCCCACAGGGACGCGCAACAGCTCCTTACCCTCTGTGGGATGTTCCTTCTTGGCTATTGGCTCGCCCAGATACATATCCACCCCATCGTCCATGGGGAGATATGGGTTTGCCCGACCACTTCCAGCTAGGAATAGTCGTATCTGGCTGAGCCAATAACCCGTGAAGACTATCCAGCAGACGGCCAGGAGAGCCATGATGGGCACCGTCGTGAACACGAGGGGACCGTCACCTCATCCAGGCCCTCCACGACCATCCGGCACGCCAGGCCTAGCACCACCCACACCTGCTCTTGGAAGGAGCAGACCGTCAAAAAGATGCCCACCACGGGCACTTTTCCCCAGACCGGGCGCTGGAGCTCTAGAGGATGGCACCCTTCGGTCCAGGGGTCCCGCTGGTTGAGGGCCTCCACCATGTAACACGGGACGGGGTAATGGCTCTCTCTAGTCCCCTACTCGGCCCGTAATTAACTTATACTCCAAGACCCCAGAGCTAACGCTCAGCTAAGTCCTCGCCACGTGACCTTAGACGTTCGACCATCTCAAAATGTTACAACCACGTGACCCCGTACTAGGCTTTTCTAGCAAAACTCAAGAATCTTCGTTCGCCGCCACCACCAAGCCAAAAACTAATGCCGTTTATTAATTGGGCTTGGGCCAATCAATTACTCTTTAATTCCTTGGGGTTAATCCCCAATTTCGTGGAAAGGGAGGTATTAGTTTACGTTAAGTTTGGAGATTAAACAAAACAAGGGAGTATAATAGATATTAAAATGGCAATATATAGATATATAATAGCTATTAAAATACTACTTAACCCAATGAAGCAGACTCGTGGAGAACAGATGGCCAGTACAATAAGTATGTAATATCATAGATGGAGATACTCAAAAATACAAAAGCGAAATCTTAACACAGTTTATTTTAGCAAAGCTAAGAAAAATTTAATAATAAAAATCACTCCCTAAGTTATCACTCCCTAATCTGAAAGTCCTAGAGACAAAC